ACAGCCAACGAGGCTTAATGGTCAGAACATGAGGGTCAAATCACATGAGATGTGCGACAACATCAGTTCCCTTCAAAGCACACAATTATCTCAAAGTTCACTCAGACATGCAAACGAAGCTTTGGTTTAATGCATAAAACAAAAGCAATTTCATATGTACTGTGCCAAAGGAGTCAGGTTTGTGCTAGAATGAACAGACATCTACCTCGTAAGGGAATTCTGCTTAACTGAATCATCGAGTTTGGATCTCAGATTACAAACAAAGACGCCAGACATGTGCTGGACTGTGAATTTGGAAATCCAGATTCAAGGCCGCAGAATGTCATGAAACTCAGTGAGTGGCCTTGGACTAGTTGCTCAGTTTGATCGACTTCACAGAGCTGTTACAAGCAGCAAATACGGAAGCAAAGAGGTTTATACCCTACCTTAGTGGAAGGGTGGGACAGGCTAATATAGACTTCAAGTCACAATGCCCCATTCATCCACAAAGTTCACTGACCTTCAGCCTCACCAAATTCATGTAGCTATTGAAAAGATAAGAGAATGGGATACCCATGAACATTCTTATACAAAAGGCGGGTTAACATTCTAATGAAATAAAAAATAACAAAGTAGTTGATTTGGGGAACAAGTGATTAGTGTTGGAAAGATAAAAAGGTGCTACCATCATGTCTTGAAGATGCAGAGATTTAACATTGGAACAGAATCCCAGACAAGTAGGCATTCTGATACAAGGATGTAATTCTTATGTTCATATGTGAAAGAACCACTGGAAGAACGAATCAAACCCTTAAAAGAACAAGTTATTTATAGGAAAGAACAGTAACTTACTTGTCCTGTGTCTATAGCTGCTTGTGACTTATATCATCCCAATGAATTAGTGACCTTCCAAGGTGTTTATATATGTACTCATATAATGCTCAAGGTGTTTTATAGTGTATGTTTAATGTATGTTTTATAGACTATGTGGATCACCAGAAGTTATGGGTTGTTCTAAAGAAATGGGTGTGCCTCAGCACTTAATTTTCCTGGTGTGTAACTTGTATTGTGGATAAGAAGCTACTGTTAGGACAGAATATAGAAGACAGAATGGTTTACTATTGGCAAAGGTGTCAGAGAAGCATGCTTTTTATTTCCCTGTCTGTTCAATATGTACACAGAACATATTATATGGAAAGCCAAAATAGATTCAGAGGAAGGAGGACTTAAAAAATAATGTGGAAGAAACATCAATAATTTAAGATATGCAGGTGACTGTGAAGCCAGAGACCTAAGACAGGAGGTCCTATTGGGAGTGCCGTCTCTCCCCAAGGCTTCTAAGGGGATGCAGACCACTCCACCACCTACCCCGCCTAGAATGATGCATCAGGGTCTAGAAACCCGGGACTTGGAGAACAGCGAAAGGAGGGAGAGGAGGAGACATCAAGGAGTGGACACCAGAGATCTGGAAACGGTTCTGAAGGGGTTAACCGTCTCTACCCAGACAGAACCTGAATTGGTAGGAAAGTGTGGAAAGGGGCGGTCTGTGGTAGAGGCGGGAACAGGGGATATAAGTACAAACTGGGACAATATACCGGGGGGTTGGGAAACAATCTGGCTACAAGACCCCTGGAAAATGGGAGCAAGTCCGGGTGCCTAAACAGGAAGCTGAAAGCAGGAGACAAAAGGGGTTGCCCCAACGCCCATCTTATTGGGGGGAATCGGAGACCCGCGAGTGGCGGCATCACCTTAGGGAGGAAAAGGAGGCGATCACAAGGGAGACGGAGGCACGCCAAGCATGGCATCTGGAGGAGCTCCGGAAGATGGGCTGTTACCTGGACCGTGGGACACCCAGCCAAGAGCGGGATCCCCATTATGGGGATGGTCAGGGGACGAAGAAACCCTTCCGTTACTGAGTACAGAGGTAGCCGAAGTCGAAACCCGAGAACCTGAAATGGTATTGGCGGGACCCTGGGAACTGAAGTCTTTGAACCCCTTTGAGACGGACATGTGGTCACCCTTGCGCCTGGGAACTGAAGTCTTTGAACCCCTTTGGGACGGACATGTGGTCACCCTTGCAAGAACCGTTGTTTTTGCAAGAGAAGTTTTCAGCTAAACCTTTTGACGTTAATGGTCAATTGCCTGAGTTAATAAATAGAGACAAGTTGTTTGATTCCAAATTGACTCATGGTTTGATGAAAAGGAGGCCCTAATATCCGAACCTTCACAGTGACACCATCTTATTCGCAGACAGCAGCAATGACGTAAATTTACTTTTAGGAAAAGTGAAAGAAGAAAGCACTAAAGCAGGTCTGCAGTTGAATAGTAAGACAAAAATCACGATTACAGAAGAACTAAACAACAAGAAAGAAATTGAAATAGTGAAAGGTTTTGTATACCTTGGTTCAATCCAAATGGAGACTGAAGCCAAGATGTCTAAAGAAGATTTGAGGGAATATCAAAAGATCATGAAGGGTAAGGATGTGTCACTGGAGACCAAGGCCAAGAACATCCACACTATTGTATTCCTGAGCACTATATGTGTGCATGTGAAAGCTGAACTGTGAAGAAGGCTGACAGAAAAACAAATTGATTCATTTGAAGTATGGTGCTGGAGGAGATCTTTGTGAATGTTATCAACCATCAGAAAGACAAACCAGAGGCTCCTAGATCAAACCAAGCCTGAACTCTCTTCTAGAAGCAAAAATGATGAAACTGAAGCTGTTGTACTTTGGGGACATAATAAGAAGGCAAAATTCTCTGGAAAAGAGAACAAAGTTTTTGGAAAGGTTGGAGACATCAGGAAAAGAGGAAGACCAAACATGAGACAGATTGATTCAATAGAGGTGGTCATGGCATTGGGTTTGCAGGAGCTAAGTGGAACTGCTGAAGACAGGGCATTTTGTGTGTCAAGCATTCCTATTGTGGTCACAGGTGAGAGGCAACTTGACAGCACATAACAACAATAACAAACTTCCAAATGAGATTACACTTCTAGCCTTCAATGAAAACTTTTCTTCTTAGATAAGGATTTCCTGATTAATAAATTCCAGCCATTTCATGTACATTTTTATTGTAATTTTTAAAAAATTAATTTACTGTACACTATTCCAAAATTTAAGGTGTAAACTACTAAATGTATTTGTGAATTCTATAACTATATTAATCAACTGAACAGTGGTCTTCTTTGATATCTTACTACCCACCTATTTATGAAAATGAAGGGATTGGATATAAATTCTAGTTTTTCTCTTAAGAACTTTGCACAAAGAAATTCTTCCAATTTTTTACCTTTATTTACATAAGAGTATTTCCCTCTCCCACTTTATTTATAGTCACACACAGGGAGAAAAAAAGAGTGGAATGATGGGCATTTTCAATTGTCTTCCATGCTAAATATATTTCTAAGCAAGACTAATATTATCAAGAAATTGATTGCAGAATATTTACATTCCAAAATCTTAATGATTTAGTTCTGTCACAAAGTGTCATATTGTACAAAGCACTGTCTTCACTTTCTGAGGTAACTTAAGGAAAAAAGAAACGAAACAAGGGTGCATTGACCTGGCAACTAAATCAGAGAAGAGGTGGCAGGGAACATTTAATTTTATCCAAAAATTTGCAAAGGCAGTTCTGTCATTATACGTCTCGCTTCTTCCCCCATTTTTATAGCACCATCTACAATGCAATGTGAAAAGCTTCCCAGTGAGGATGATTGATAGTGACACCTGAATTTTTCCAGCATATAAGTAATATCAGTTTTAATAACAACCACATACATCATCCTTTGTAAGGCCTGCCACCCTGACCCGATCTGCATGACTGTTCTTGTACAACAGTTCAATATAGCACAATTGAGAAGGGGCTGTGTGACTAGGAGAACCAATACAGTTATAAAAGAGAATACTGTCACTTAAAATTACAGCAGTGATGAAAGAAGAGATATCTGAACAGGCTTATATTCCATATTTACTGTTCAGGCTTAGGACAGAAAAAAACATAAAACAAATAGCAAGATTGCTGTTGGAGACTTTTTGTGTGAACAGTATACTGTATAAAGAATCTTAAAATGAATATTCCTGATTCACACCATCCATCCACCCCTCAAATCCACCAGCCAGGAAAGGTAAAGTCAAATACAAATAAAGAAGAAAGATAATCTATGGTAAGTCCTGAATATTGTTTCTCAAGATAGCCAGAATCTAGGTTACCTGGAAGGAGCTGGCGTAAGGCATAAACTTTGCATGCTGAAATTTCCATTTTCATCAACCTGTCTTGTTACAAAGGACTAGGTCGCAGGTAATAAGAAATGCCTCTCCCTGAGATCTTGGAACCTGCTGACCATCAAAGTAAGCAAGAATAATCTAGATGACCAAACAATGTCATCAAGTATAGCAGCTTCTCTGTACCTTTTCTACCTAACCCTAGGCATTAGCTAAGATTTTTATTTTTGTTTTTCTTTTAAATAAATTTTGCACGGTTTGTCAAGAGATGCTGGACAGCAAGGCTGTTTCTCTGAATACTTTAATCATCTTAAAAAACCCCTGCTAACAGATGTGGACTATAAATAAGAACTGTGCAAATTTAAGAGATCAATTTAATCAGGGGAAGTATAGACTAAGAATTGCTTTCATTGTACACTGCTCTGTAAGTAGCCCAAACCGGCATAAATCCAGTTGAGAGATTAGCTGTCATAAGATTCTTCCCGTTTTTAAATGTGTGTCTGCAAACAGGTAAATAGAACAGCTGGATTAATCTATGCTCCATCCTCCCACCCCCTGCCACCCAGTCAAACAAGGGGGACACATCCCGCCCCCACCACAAAGCCAGCATCAAAATGGTCTCGAAGTTTAGTTCGACAACGAAAGCAACATGGTTATTTTTAGAGCACTACAGGCATAAAAATATAGCACTAAACTGTGACCTACAGCTATGCACAGCCAAGCATCGCATCATCCGAGCGACAGCCTTAACTTTAGCTAGGAGCGCATCTGGCTTGACTTCAGACTACTGCTATTCATCTGGCTACCAACAATACCTTACAGATGCCTTCAGCAGCCATTAACGGGCTTCTGGAATTGTCAGCTTTCTCTTTAAAATAAAACCACGTCGCACAAGAGGAGCTACGGCTCAAGGGAAAAACTCTGTTCAAAAGGTAGAAAACCCTGAATGGACTTTGCGGAAAGAATTTTCGAAGACGCTCCTGTCCAACTGTTGCAAGCTCCCTCCAATCAGAAGAAATTAATTTAAGGAATCTTAGAAAACAGAATGGATTGATTCATACCATCTATAATGCTCTACTCCCAAGTCAGCAGGATAAGGAAGGCTTGTCTCTCTTTTTTATAGAATGTGTGACAGGCTGAAAAACTGAATATGCTGGAATAAGCCATCACTTCAAGCCAAACCCATCCACAGCTTCCTTGGTTTCAAATATTCCTTTCAACAAGTACAGTAAGTAAATAGATCCTTTTATTCAAAACTAACTTATAAAATGGTAAAGTACAGAAGATAAATATATTTGTATATTGAGACAGAGATAGAGGAACAACCAGTAAGATTGCTTTTCTGAACAGTTTTTTAGCATGAGAAATCTTTGCCCCCATACAGCATGTTAAAACTCTTCTGCGTTTTTTTAAATAAGATTTTTACTACATCAGTGAACTTTATGATCTACACTCAATCAGCAATCCTTACTAGAGCAGACTCACTGAATCACAAACATATATATACTGTGTATGCTAAACAAGATTCATTCATTCAATGGGTATACTCTATTTGTGATTAACAGCTGAATTTAACCTCAGATATCTAGTTACAGAAAAATTATTACTCATGTATCTTAAACTAATGAGGAACAAAATGTGTTCTATGTTTTGAAAACAATATTAACTGGGGGAATGGACTGGCCTTATTACCTCTTAACCTGCTGCAAGAAGTTGAACATATTAGTCAAAACACATTTGAGTTCTACTGATTTTTGAGTGTGAGGTGTTGAAACTTTGGCCAGAATATTTACTTAACAACGAAGTGCTACACACATCTACTCAGAAATAAAACCTAGAGTCCAATAGGTTCCATGCCCAGAAATCTATAATGCAATCTTAATACAAATTTATCACATTGTTAGTAATAAGTGAAATTAATAACATTCTGGCCCAAAACAAGATTTTTCTACTTCTGCACCCACCCATATATAATTATGTATTTCTTTATTAAAATTAGACAAAATGCCATTCTTCGGTTGGATGAAGTGGCCCAAAAATTACTCCTACAAAAATGGGCAATACCCTGGTTCAGAAGTCGTGACAAACACACTCTTGAGGGAGCTGAAGTGGCATTTGAAAGAACGTGAACGCCTGATACAGGAGATAGAAAATGAGCAAAGAGTGCAGAAGACTGGTGTGGATTATAACTGGCTGAAGAGCTACCAAACCCCTCAGATAACTATCCCAGCCACCGAACAAAGACAACTTGAAGTTCTTTGCTCCCAGATCCAACCAGGTCAAACTGGGATCATTCTCAGCAGGTAAACCTGTTTTACTGTTCTGGTATTGCATGAGCTTAAAGGACAAGAAGAAAAGGAACTTCTTCCTTTGTGGTTTCATGTAACTACTGTATGTGTATATGAAAGATATCTTCTCAGCCCGCCCGGATTCTAATTAGCCAACTTCAGGGAAGCATGTTCTGGGCTAACTTTACCATCTAAGCTTGCTGACTTGGCAACGAAAATCCAAAGGGACTTGCTTTCTGGGGGGAAAAAAACTGCTTGGTACCAGGATCTTGTGGTACAATTCAAAAGACCCACTGATATCAACCCAAAAGCGGCTCATAGCATTGCATTTATCCAGTTGTTTAGCTAAGTGCTGATGCAACTCTCATGATTTGTCCTCTCCCAAGATGCAGCAAAAAAAAGTATTAACCTTAAAAGTCCCCAAATTTCTCTAGAAATAAAATATTTGCAAAATAATTAAAACCTGGCAAAATACTGTAGTGCACACTGAGCAAACACCTGATCATCTATAAAGTGGTCTTAATAGTGGTACAGAGATCAGATGCATCCCTCCATTTTGACAAACATTTGCATTTCAGCAAATTAAGGAACTGTATTTTTTTTAATCCGCATACACAGTTACAGAACTGCTCAATGCAAATGCCCCTCTGAAACTTTACAAAAGGAGTCGTGCATTAAAATGTTCCTAATCTTATACATACAATTTTCCTTCCCATGGGCAGTGGACAGATTTTTTAAAAAGATTCAACAACAGAACAAACCTATGCTCTCTTTGTGAGCCCGGAAAAAGACTTGAGGGCAACGTCAGTTTGAATCAATTTCCTCAGTCAGCTTAATATAGAAAAAAATGTTTCTATGGTTGCGCTGCATCCAAATACACTGCAAGTGCCATTCTTCACCATTTCATAGAAAATAAAACCAAAAAGGATGAAATCTCTTCCCTATGATTGCTAGTGTTGTTGCTGCTGGTGCGGATGGCTAAAATGCGAGAAAAGACAAGGTGTGCAATAATAGTCGGAATTTAGGTTGTTCAGTTCTCCCCCACTTTTTCTTTCCAGGTTTCGAGAGGTTTTGGCAGAAAATGACGTTTTACCTTGGGAAATTGTTTACATCTTCAAGCAAGTGTTAAAGGAGTTCTTAAACAATCTTGAGAAGGAAGCTCCACAGGACCACACGGACGTTTGGAATACAAATTGTGCAGTACACTTCACAACACCGGGCGACAATTCCAGCAAAACAGATAAAGAAGAGATCCCAACAGTATCCAGTTATGTTGACAAAAATACACAGGGCATGTTTCCAATGTTCTCCCACAGAATCTGGAACCTTCCCTATTACCACCCATCAGGTTAAATGTGTCCACTTTCCTCCACTTTATTTCCCTTGGCTATGACTTTCCTGTGAAGATTCAAAACTCCCAAGAAATCAAAAAATTATTATTGCCCTCCTGCTGTTCCTCATGATTGCAAGTTCAGCATTTTAAACTTCTTACAACTCGCATATAATTTACAATATTTAGATAGTAGTTGTAGGTTTTTCGGGCTGTTTGGGCATGTCCTGGAGGAAAAAAAAATTCAAACAGCAACATAACAAAGGAGAGAAACGCTATCAAGTCTCTAAACTCAGATCCTGACATCATCATTCTGCCAGCAAAGGCCATGCCTCCAGAAGACAGCCAAACAGCCCGAAAAACCTACAAAAATCATCGGATCCCGGACATGAAAGCCTTCAAGAATACAATATTTAGATATTTAGAATGAGAACTTCCTCCTATTGTTTCACTAACTAATGTTATTGTGTAGAAGAATCTTCTAACCAAAAGCACATTGTAGCAGACCTTTTTAATGATAGGCTTAAAATCTGTTGTTTGTATTTTCCTGTTATGCATGCAATGTATCAAACGCAATATTTTAAAATACAATCACTGTGAAGAGCAAGGGCAGGTTTTTATCCTGTGACCTGCATACACTCAGTTTTTTCTAAAGCAAGGTACTGAGTGTCTGAATCAAAGATTCAACAGTGCAGGAAGGAAAATGGGAAAAACTATTATACATTTATAACATCAGTCCTCAGTGGTGGGGCCAGAATCTACAAACAGATTGTATGCTGGTCTAAGGTAGGTCAAATCAATGGCTCCACCCCTATTTCACTTTTAAAGAAAAGGAGAGGCATTAAAAGGGAAAAAGTGACAGAACATAAGCCATGTTCAAACTTTTATCTGATAATAGTTCCCCCCCACTTCTCTTCCCATCTGACTGCTCAGGAAAAAGTGACCAGTTTGTAGAGTTTTTCTCCAGAGGTTTTTTACAAGTTTTTCTATTGGACAGCATTTTTGCAACTCCCAAACACATCTCCGATATGCTTTGAAGCAAGGTTATTTTATATGAAAAGAGGTGAGGGTCCCTTTACAATCAAGAGCAATACAGTGGTGCCTCGCTTAGCGATTGCCTCGTTAAACGATGTACTGTATTCGCTTAGCAATGAGGTTTTTGGAGCGATTTTGCACTCCGTTTAACGATGTTCCCTATGGAGAAATTTCGCATAGCGATGTTCGGGACCTTGCCTCGCTTAGCGATGAGAGTTTAGTTCCCCGTTTCGCTTAGCGATGCCCATTTTCGCTATTTTAAGTGTGTCTTAAAATGTTCAAAAACTGTTTTAAATGCTTGGGATCGTTAGTGCACCTTGTAAAACCTTTGCAAACTTAATTTGGCTTTGTTCTGAGTCTTCGTTAATTTTTGGTGAATCCCCCCCCATTGGAATGCATTGAACTGTACGTTTGACAGCTTAACGAAGACTCAGAACAAAGCCAAATTAAGTTTGCAAAGGTTTTACAAGGTGCACTAACGATCCCAAGCATTTAAAACAGTTTTTGAACATTTTAAGACACACTTAAAATAGCGAAAACGGACCTGTCAAAACCATTGAAATGCACTGAATAGGCTTCAATGCATTCCAATGGGGGAAACATTGTTTCGCTTAGCGATGTTTCCTATGGCGATTTTCGCTTAAGGATGGTAATCCGTTCCCATTGGAATGGATTAATCGGTTTCCAATGCATTTCTATGGGAAATGGTGTTTCACTTAGCGATGTTTTCCCATAGCAATGTTTTTTTGGAACCAATTAACATCGTTAAGCGAGGCACCACTGTACATACAAAGGAACAGGTACAGTGGTTTTAACCACTGTTATTGTGACACTATATCTTCTGCATCAAAAATAAAGGGGCTTTGCACTCCTTTGAATCAAATTAATAATAATAATTGCATGCCATCAAGTCCAGTTTGACTTATGGTGACCCTTTTGGGGATTTCTAGGCTGACGTTTTATGGGGGCATCCTGGGATTCTGCAGCTTGCCCAAGACCACACAGGCTGACTCTTCTGCCAGGAGATAAAGTGAGCAACCTGCAGCTTAACCTCTGGCTCCAAAGCCAGATAAACCAGTCAGCTAGCTAGTCACATCAAATTGTCATAAAACAAAAAACAAACAGGAGGGATGGGTTCTATGCTGCACTTTGTTATTAAAGAAAGCTCTTGGATTTGAAATGATTTCATTTCTTTACTTATGTTGTTTGATTGTATTTGGCTAACATTTGTATAAGTAAATAATACAAATCAAAGTCAATAAAATACGTACCAGTAACATGCTAAGTAAAACTGGAAGTTGAATCAATTATATTTCTGGCCTAGAATACTGCACCCGAGGGCCAAGCTGGCCAGGGGACTGTGAGCTGCAGGCCAGATCTATTTAATAGCCCAAATGCTGGTTAAATAAATGAATGTGTAATTTTTTTTGATGAAAACAAGTTACCTGGGACAAGTCAGACTTCACTTGGCAGGGAGTCCCATAACTTGAGAGCAGCCATTGATCCAGTCTTTACACACATGCCTGCCAAATGTACAGTACTTCTGATAGCTGCTGTGAATAAAGATGCCCGCTGACAATCTTAAAACCTGGGCAACCTCATGGAAGATAATAAACTCTGAAACATAACCTGTCAGTGTAGCTGTTTTAATACAGTGTCCCATATTTCATGTACAAAGGACCCTACCAAAGACCAGAAGTGTAGTATTTCCAGAAATTCTAAGGATGTAGGGGGAGAAAGCGTTGCTTCTGAAAGAATTCAACTATGTAAAATTAAACTATACATAATACTTATTTTCATGTCAAACCTAACTCGTTATACTGCTTTAGGAACATGAAAAGCTTTATTCATAAGTTACTTAGCATATAAAGTCCTATTTGGCATATTTATGAAATTTTAAAATACAAAGGTCTATGTTTAATACATGGAAAACTGTGAATATACCCAATGGAAAGAAAGAAAGAAGAGCTACAACTTCTGCTACTCAAGCATCCATACCTTAGTTTTTGCCTACTCAAAATTAGGGGGGGAATGAACATAGAAAACATTAATTTTGTAACAAAGAGCATAAATTAATTAATAAAAGACTAAACATGATTATTTGAACAGAAGCAATCTACGCTGAATGTCTCCACCAAATTAAAACTAAGGTTCCCAGAAGAAGCTTAAAGGAGGTCCACAGTACAGTCCTCTCAAGAATGTGGCAGTAGCCACTTGGCACACAAATGCATCCTGGATTGGGTGGTTGTATATGCCCACAGCATGCACAGGCATTATCATCCTCTAATTCCGTCAACTGCCATACAAAATTTCATGGTGCCGAGTTCCTAGCATTTTGAGCGAGCAAAACCTTTGAATGGAAAAAAAGTATTTCACCCATTCAGAAAGACAAAATGTTTTAGCAGGGCTTGATTCAAACTTTTTCAAAGTTTCCAATTTTTTTCCTTCAGAAAAACTGAATACTTATCCTTAGCCAACCCCACACCAAAACCCCAGATTCCATCAACACCCCTGAATGCTCCTTTTTCCACACCCCGTCCTTTTTAACAATAGTCCTCTTGCACAATGCTGAATGAGCTGGTGCTTTCCAATATTCTTCAGCGCAATCCCACGCAGAGTGTATTACAGCTGGTCCCCCCCATCAGATCCGACATTAGAAGACATTGAGTTGAAAACGTCTACAGCATTTTGTACAAATAGAATTCCATTAGGGGGGAAAAACAGACCGGTCTGCGCTCCAAGGTGCTTACAGTGAACAGAAGGACAAAGAAAAGTAAGGGAAGAAAAAGGGAAAGAATAACATGGGAAAAATATGAACAAAAGCTGTTACACATAGTGTTGGATTTGTAAGGGTGCCTTTATATGCTAGAATCAAATACTGAATTCAAAACAATTAACAACATCTGTGCAAGAAGGGTGTCATAAAGTGCAAGATGCTCCCTGAACTGGAAGCTTCAGCCAGCCACTTAAGCTCCCAAGCCACGCAAGATGAGCCTGCAGGGGTAGATCTTGCTGCAATCCTCTTTCCAAGTAGCAGCAATTGGCCTGGACTTGATTATTTTTACTTAAGCTGGCTGGATAGCTTAGTGAGTCAGGTATCTGCAGGAGACTAAGAATTCTCCCCTTGTGCATCCTCAAAGAGCCAGCCTGTGTGGCCTTGGGCAAGCTGCACAGTCCTGGAAGTGCCCCCAGGGGGAGGGAACCATCAACCACTTTGGAGTACAGTACTCTACTCGCTACCTAGAAAACCCTGAAAAGGACCACCATAAGGCAGAACTGACTTGACAGCACACTAGTGATGATGATTATTAACACATCTGATGCTAGCGCTTCAGAATTCAAATTCTTTTTTACAGCTCTTCCTTTAATCTTAATTAAAATAGCTCCAACTGGCTTCATCTTCAGTTGAAATCCTTGCTACTCTACAAAACACGGTTTTATGAAGGGTCTACTGTTGTAATTTAAACTGGCTGACATGCCCTTACAGAACTGTATTTCTAATAGAGTTGTTAGTTTTAAAAAAGTTTCCTTGCTTATTTAAGACTTTGTGGCACAAAGAACAAGCTTTGAAATATTAAATTTTATTTGCACCAGCGTGTTTCAACACATGTTTCGGCCCCAAAGCCATCTGTTATGCAGGTCATACTGAAGGGATTTTTTTAAAAAAATAGTCTGGAATCGACATGTGGAAACTGTGGTCACAACTGACATAAGTAGAGCAGAAAATCAATGAAAATAGTTGCCAGGATTGACTTTTCCTGCACACATATCCAAGCTAAATTTAACTCCCACCACTGCAGAATAAAAAACTATAGACTTCTCTCATCCATGGCTTATATCACCAGATAACACAAGTGAGTGGGCACTATATTTAACAGAACTGCTCAGACACGGTAAACTGCTTACAGGGTGTCAAGTGAATTTTACAAGAGTTAAAACCTGGCTTTCACTATGCTAGTGAAAGCTACCTATTCCCAGTTATTAAGAAAACTTAATTGCTTCTAGAGTTATCACATCAATGCTGCCTGTCATTTTCATTAAAAAGGAGAGCAGGCTAAAGCCGTTTTTTTCCCCTTCTTTGGACCTGGCAGAGTAATGGTATGATGTTAATTTGCAGGGCTACTAACCTATCAACTAAATCACTCTTGCCCTTCCAATCTTTAAACATTACATGCCCATCGACATCTATGTTGGCTTGGGCATCTTGTGAGAACGGCTGGTGGTCGGATTCCAAAAGATCTCCTGTATGGAGAATTAGTGCAGGGAAAGCACCCCAGAGGGAGACCACAGCTGCGATACAAGGACATCTGCAAATAGGATCTGAAGGCCTTAGGAATGGACCTCAACAGATGGGAAACCTTGACATCTGAGCGTTCAGCCTGGAGGCAGGGGGTGCATCATGGCCTCTCCCAATTTGCAGAGACCCTTGTACAGCAGGCTGAGGCTAAGAGGCAGTCCCGAAACCAGGCAAATCAGGGAGCTGGACAGGGGACAGATTGTATTTGTCTTCAGTGTGGAAGGGATGGTCACTCTC